AATGAAATATTTACTAAATTACACTCAACTTAATCTTTTTCTTAAAGTTAATTAAACGATTATATTAAAATGATAAAATACAAAAAAAACAGAACAGAGACAGCAAGAATGCTTGTCATAAAAATCAAGTATTTCAATTATAACTCTAATCCTATTAGAGATAAGTCCCTACTCAATAGAAATAATTTATTCATCTTATCGAGGCTTCAAAAACAATTTTACACACTTTTCCTACATGAACTTGCAGTTTTTCAGAACAAAAGAAGACAAGTTATACGAATCTATCGAATTTATCCTTCATAAAAGACGGAAAAAGTGTTATTGAGAGTACAGATCAACTATCATACAACTACTAATCTTAATTCTAACAAAAAGAAGTTGTTTACAAGATAAATTCGAGAAAGAAAGTTTCGCACACTTTTCACATATGGTTGATTTGTTTTTCATTATTTTACTATAGTTGAAAATTGGTTTATATATCATCCGATGTAGAATTTAATGGACTACATTTTGATATAAAATACGTATTCTTATATTGGAATATGAATCATTTAGTAACTATCAATAATTAATGATTAATTAATGCGACTTTGAAAAATTTTCTAATTTCTGTCTATGCCGTTTGAAAGAGAAAATAAAAATGGAACAAAACTGAATTAATGTTATTTCGAAATGAATCATCTTGATGAGATTTTCCGAGCGTGTAAACTTTTAATTAGATGTAGTATTCATTAGTTTGAATTAATTCAAATATGGAATGAAATTTTAAATTAGAAAAAGTTAATAGGATTTGAACAGCCACAGTTGTTCTTTGAAACTAAACATCGCGACTCTCACCGCAGGATACTATTCAACTTCTTCATTGCCTTTTTCTATAATGAAGTAATTTAATTCATATTTCCCGACTATTTTTCTGTTGTTCTTGTATCAGATAATTTGAAAGTGCTGTAAAGTTTGAATAGTATCCTGCAGTGTCAACCAGAACATTTAGTTTGAAGGAGAAAATCTACTTTTTCAAATCCTATTAAACTTTTCTAATTTTAAATTTCATTTCATAGATGACTTCATTAAAACTAATGAATACTACATCTAATTAAAAGTGTACACACTCTGAAAAGCTCATCGATACGATCCATTTCGAAATAGTATTAATTCAGTTTTGTTTCATTTTTATTGTTCGCTCATACAACATACACAGACACTTTAAATTGCATTAATTAACTGTTGAGTATCAATAATTACTAATTGATTCATATTCCTATATTTACTAAAATGTAGCACATTAAATTTTGCATCGAATAGTATATGACTAAAACAATTTTCAACTATAGTAAAATAATGAAAAAATCAGCTAAACATTAAACATGTGCTAAAATTTTTTCACCGAAGAAAGTATTTTTGTCTAGTAAAATAGTATACTAAACGTTTTTTATCCACTTTATTTTACATTTGCAAGTCATGATTTCAACTCTCACACTAATAATTAAAAATAAATTTCCATACAATTAACTAAACTATCGTTCAATTAATTTTTAGAGACAGACGAAATTTTATTGATAATGATTTGATATTGTGTAGATGATAAAATTAATGATTATCAAAAGTAATTACAAATAATATAATTATTTGATGTTATAAACTTCTTTCATCTATTGTATTAATAAACAGATCAGGATGTAATTTTATATAAGCAGATATTGCAGTATATCCTGTTTTCAGCAACTTCGGAATCCTAATAGATATATACTTTTAAATAACAACTACAAAATAATAGATGTTGATGTAAATATTTTCCACTATCTCAATGTTTTCTTGATATTTCCAAACAAGTTATCAATCAAAAGATTCAGATTTGAATTTTCTACAAAACTCTATATTTCTCTTAATCAAAATACATTTTATAGGTTTTCAAGATGCAATAAAAATTTTTAATCAAGTCTTTTTGTGAAACTATCTTAATATCAATCTGATCATTTATTGAAATGGTATTTAACTTGTTCCAAGTCATTAAACGGAAATGTGTGTGAGTGTGGATATAGATCTTCCCGTCAGCCACACCCACTTCTTCTTTTTTTACTTAATAGCAAATAAAATGGTGATTAATATAAACAGAAAGATAATAAAATTAACTATAACTATAAGAGAAAACAATTATCATCTGTTAAATAGACATCTTTTATGGAGCTCACATATATTTTCGAAGAAAATAATGAGTGTAAATGGAGTATTTTCTTCTTGAATTTCTATACTGAAAACTAAGTAATGAGGAAGAAATATTTCCAAATATACATTAAAAAAACAGTTTCTAGAGAATTAGCAAAACAGTTTTTTCTAATCATGAAAGTATGTCTTGTTTAGTCTTTTTGTCAGAAACTTCTCGCATACGACAGATTCGAAATCATTTGCAGTCCACAGAACATATCTTGACTGTTTCATCGGTGGTCGTCATTCTGATACTTGTGTTTGGTGTTTTTTTTCGAGAAAGACTAGTCATGCAATACCGGAGTATGGATGTCATAGTTACTTCTTATAACATTCATTTTTGAAAAATACTTATGTCCGCAGTCGAAGTCACACCCACACCCTTATTTTTCCTGGAAAGTTCTGTATTTTCAAATAGATGGTTTTCATTTGTTTTAATCATAATTACAGTAAAATTTTCTGTTTGTATAGTTTTTCCTGTGGGAGTAAAGTCTGAAATAGGATTATTTATGAGGGAAATTTACTTCTTCGAAAGTCTGAGTACGGCTGAAATTTTAAAAATCTTTCATCACATTTTCATTATTTTTATTAGCTTTCAATTTTTTATTTGAACATACAAAAAAAGACATTAGTTTATGAATAATGATAAGAGATTCTTTGAGAATAGCATTCATTCCTTTGAAAACTTGAGACTATTCATAATATTTTCCAGCTTGTTCTTGCCGACATGATCGAAGTAAGTGAGCGTGAAGGAAAGAATATAGCCATTTTTGTGATTTTGACATATAACGTCTGATAGACGGTTCGTGATTGGAATATCTTGGTGGTTAATTCTTGCATGCTGAATCGTTCTCCATTTATGGTGATTTCGCTACAATCACCAGAGAAGTTCACGTTGATGAGTGAACCTTGAAGTCATTTTTTGTCAAACATAATGTAATCACAGCTAGTGTTGAAATGCTGTATTAATAATTCATTTTTAATAGCAGAGGCGATGATATTTGTATTGCCTTTGTTTCTCAGCATACCGAACGAATATTCTGAGAAAGCGAAGAGAGGTATCGAATTTTCCGCGTTGGGTTTTATATATTCCGACATTAATATATTATTTCTCATCATGAAAGGTATAACAATTTGATTCAGAGTGCGTACTTCAGCAGAACTTATCGAATACCAATCTATCGGCTTCTCTACCGACAGGCAAAATAAAGAGTTCTCATAACGATTGTTACCCATATATTGAGTATTTGATGGAAAACTTTCTTCACGTTTCGACAAATCTATCAAATAATAAATGCATCATGTCATTTTAGTATTTATATATGATAGAAAAATATGGAGTCTCGTCATCGAAAAGACACTATTGTAGATAATAACCACTTATTTTATTAACCAGGAATACTCGAACTTCCTTCTACATGATTCGAAGCGTTTCAATTTGAATGGGTATGGGTGTGGGTGTGGGGTGTGGGCATGAGTGTGGGTGTGGGCATGAGTGTGGGTGGGGATGTGGGTGTGAGTGCGGGGTGTGGGTGTGGGTGTGGATGTAGGTGTGAGTGTTCAATTTATCCCAACATCCATCCCACACCCACACCCGCATCCCATACCCATACCTACACTCACACCCACACACACCCACACCCACACCCACACACCCACGCCCACCCACACCCTCTTCTTACCAAAGTAAATTCCGTTATCCCTAGCATTTGATCAGAACGATTTTCGATATCTAAAAGCAATTGGATCACACATATCTTATGTAATTCAAGTAAAAGTGATTATGCTAAACGTTCTCGTAGATGTCTTTCGACATGCTTTCAAGTATATAATTTGAATACATTGATAGGTTCGCCCTGTTGCTCCTCAATCAACTAGTATCTGGTCTTACCATTTCGACCTACAGTATGGCTTTTATTCTCATGCTCGAAATAACACCCTCGACTGATACGAGTCTCGTTGGAAATACGGCACTTGTCGCTTATACAATCGGTGAAGCAATAATCACTCTCTCTGCCTATCTTACTCTTGACTGGCAAAAGCTGAAATGGGTCAGTGTCGTTTTTATTGGTTCAGTTTTACCTTATCTCTATTTTATGACGGAAACGCCACTTTATCTCTATGCCAAACAACAATATACTGAACTCGAAGCACTTTTGCGTCGAATTGCAACGCGAAATAAACGAACTGAAGAACAATGGTGTCCATCGTATCAGGAATTCTTACGTAATCAATCGATCACATAAGTTAACAATGAAACGAAAGTGTCATTTTTCAAACAAGTTCGTCAACTT